AAATATTCAAACCTGTTTAATCTGTGAGAGATTTATTTACCTGTGAGTTAAAGACAAAGTATTTAGGCTTGCAAGTGTCATCATCTATAGTGGCGTTGTCGCTGTGGGGGGTGATGTTGAACATATTCATGGTTTCATTTCCAGTGTCAGGAAGAGGCAGAGGGCATGGGATCTGGAACTTCTTTATGATCACCTGCAGGAACATAAAGAGAAATATATTTTTGGACTGTGGTATATTTTTCACAATATTCAAAAAACTAAATAAGCAGTGATTTGAAAACTTTAATGAAACGATGAAACAATGAAACGATTGACTAAATCTAACTTTCAGGAGAAATCAAACTGTACTCACCACAATCAGAAAGAACACCATGCAGAGCAGAGAGAGACCACTGGTGTAACCAAGGTAACCTAGTGAGGCAAGATAAAAAATGATTTTTGTCCGAAAGCTGGTGCTTCAACTTTTATTGTTACTTAGGAAATACATCCTTACCTAAGTTCCTGAATAATGACAGAGGCAGGATGACAATAATCGAGACCAGAATCACGAGGTAATCTCCATTGATGTACCATTCACTGAAACACATAAAAATAAGTCTCTCAATTCACTGACAGTTATTTGTTACTTGATTTGATAAAAAAATAAAAATAAATAATAAATCAATGTATTAGTTTTGAATCTAAAAACAGGATCTTTGTACTTGTCATACATTTTAACTTAAGGTCTGATTGAACATCTTGTTTCCTGCTCTGATGCATCAGCCTTCACCAAAGCTGAGTCAAAAACTACAAACATTCAGACTTTCCCTCCTGCATTTCCACAGCTGCAATCCCTCCCCATCCTAAATCCAATCCCCATCACCATCACAGTCACAATTCATTACTTTAGTTAAATTAAAGTCATTTTAAACTGAATTAAAACTGAACAACTTTAGCTGTTAGTTTGTCAACTTTTTTGCAACACCGGTATGCAACACGTTTAGCTTGGTGTTTGTAATCTACACTGAACAAAAATATAAACGCCCCATATCAAATATTGTTGCCATGTGGCGTTAACAACTGTAAATAAACATTTCTTAACATTTTATTATAAAAAAAGTAATATTTCTCCTGATTTGTGTATAATTTTTAATCCAACTTGTTGTCAGTGAGCGTTACTCAGTGAGTTGTTTTTTTTCCTCTGTGCATGGGTCAGGCATGTCCAGCGGGTGATCAGACGAAATAAGCAACAATTGGACAATCCTTGGACTGGGGACAATAAAAGGCCCCAAAATGTCACATTTTGTCACAAGTCATAAAGCCTCAGATGTTGGAAGTTAGCATGTTGGATGCAGGGACGTCCACCAGAGCAGAAGCTGCATGGTTCAATGTCCACTGCCTGACCAACAGGCCGTTTAAGAGTTGGTTTCCAACAGACTGGCACTACTGCAAATGGACCTCATCCTCGTAGGCCATGTGCCACGTTTATATTTTTGTTCAGTGTAAATGGCAGCTGATTTGCCATATCCATCCAGAATCAGATTTATTTACCCAATTTGTGGAAGAAGAAAATGTCTCTGTGGCGGCTGGTTGTTGCGTAATAGTAAGGTAAAAATCTGAATGTTTTTTTGTATCCAGGATGTGTGGGTTCCCAACAAGTGTTTGGAGGCTTCTGTACAAGTTCTGCATGGAGGGAAGGTCAGTCCTGCTGACCCTCTCTGCACACCTGATTGTTACATCATTCATCAACTCTGAAAAAAAAAAAAAATAGTGCCTATACTTTCTTTACTTATTAGTATCAAGTTTGCACCAGACAGAGTAGAATATGAAAAATCTATTGCCTGTTGTCACTGAAGACATGAAAGGTTCCCTTCATGTTGAGACATGGTCAGAATAAAATGTCCTGCTGTAAACCAATTTGTTATTGTAGACGAAAAATTCTGCAGCAAGGTGTGAAAACTACCGAGGTGTGATGTGACAACCTGTCATGTCAGGTAGTTTCCTTTTAAGTACTGATTCCAGTTGCAAAAGTTTTTTTTAAAGTCAAATTTAGCTACTCACCCATGACTTGCTCCAGTAAATAACTGAATGACAATGGGGAGCTCATATTTGATGATGTAGAGGTAAGTCAACATGGCTGTAGAGAAAAAAAACAAGAATAAGGAACAATCGGTACAGCTGATTAAAAATGTAGAGCCAGAATGCCTGATATCTGGTGAGCAACAAAAAGTTCAATAATTGATGACAAAAATATCTGTATGATGTAAAACTCATCCTAATCTCTATTTGCCAATGTCTGCCTGCTTTCCATCGTATTCAGAGTTTGGACTCAGTGAAGCTGTTTAAATCATTGTTGTATAACACAGAAAACAACATTTGCTACATAATGGTCAGTCCCTCACCTCCAATGTTCTGCATGGTGATGGAGCAGGAAGCAGCCAGTTTGCCTGGGATCCCAAAGGCCTTGTAACCCAGTGACTCATAAACAAGAGCACCTGAAAAAAGAGGAAAAAACCCCAAAGAATTTTAAATCTTGACATTTAAATATAATTAAACAAAGAGCTGCTGGAAGATGCTGTGATGGTGCAGGGGTAAAGCACAACCCATGTACAGAGGCCTTGGTCGTCAACATGGACCTCACAAGTTTGAGTCCCATCCTGATGACCTTTGCCACATGTCTTCCCCCTCTCTCACTGCCTACTGTCCTGTCAACCACTCTCAAATAAAGACCACTAGAGCCAATAAAACCTTCAAAAAGTTGCTGGAAAGTCAGAACTGCTGCTCACCTGCTTCATCGGCTGTCTTCAGCAACAAGTGGACAGAATACAAGGAGAAAATGGCAAAAATAACCAGGAGAATCCTGTAAACACAAGAGAGAGAAGGAGGTTGCACAAGACAGAGTAGAATATGAAATGACTTGTGTGCTTGCAAGTTGTCTACAATAACCTCCTTCTTGCTAGAAGTGAACATTCTCTTTTTGGAGCTGTCATGATAGACATTGATAAAAGTTCAAAGATCAACAGACTGTCAGGGTCACAGAGCTGTTGGCAGGGATCTCGGGATCTTGGAGAGTTTGGCAACATAAGAACCTGAGACCTTGAAGAGACACCTGCCTGGACTGGAGTTAAGAAATGTTGGAGCTAAAAATGAGGTTTCAGGTTTTAGGTGATGGAAAAATGCTTACACAAACAGGGCGATGCCGGTGTTGGCCATGGCGAAGGACAGACCCAGGATGCCGCTGCCCATGATGGCGATGCTCAGATTGAAAATGGACATGCTGACGGAGGAACTGCCCTGGTGCTGAAGAGGAGAAAACAACAAGTTTTCAGGTAATAGTAGAAAAAAATGACATCTAGTGAAATATGCAACTTACCCTTTCAGTTTCATAATTGTTCTTGCTCGCCTTATAATCAGAGAGGAAGTTTTGATTCTCTGTATCTGAATCAGGGTATTGTCTGATAGAGAAGACAGAGTTTTGTGTTAATTGAGTTGACAGGATTTAAAGGTTTTGTTGGTGTGTTTGTGAAGACAATGTCAAAATGAGCCTCACTCATCCAGGGGGAATTTTTTCTCGCGCAGAGGGAGATAGTTACTGATGGAGCTGCAGCTGCCATGTTCTGGCAGAGCATTCAGGCATGTAACTGTCGCTTCAGCAATAGGTTGCTCATCACGGGGCACCAGAGCTAAAAATAAGGAAACCCTATTAATTTTTCTTATTTAAGATGCTGTAATAGACATGTACTTAGATGTGCTGTCCCATTGCCAGGGCTGACCTTGGGTCACACTGCTCATGTTTTTGTTGCTCATGTTGAAGTGAGTCCCACCACTAGAAGGATCGTCTTGGTGCTGTAAGAGAAACTACAGGACAGTCAGGGGGATTCTAGAAACAAAAATTATTGCAAGTGTAACAAAAACTGCAACTTGCCTGTTTGCTTTCCTTCTCTTTGCTTGGGTTTTGGTCATGAAGGGAGTTTCGACTCGCTGCATCCAAATTAGGGCCCTGCCTTTAAAAGATGAGAGAATTTCATGTTTAATGCATTGGCAGGATGCAAAGTTTTGTTGTTTTGTCAGCACCAGTTAAGATTTTCCTCACCCATCCAGTGGCTGCTCTCTCCTGAAATTAAGAGGAGACTTCCGGCTCTCGTCAGAGCAGCAGCTGCAGTTGCTGTGTCTACCATCTTCAGTAGAGTCTGAATGTTTGGTGTCAGTTTCAGCATCAGGCTGCTCGTCACTGGACACCGAGGCTTAAAATAGTAAAATTCAATTTGTCAATTTGTATTGACCAATTTGTATGGTCAATACAAATTGACCATAGGCTGAAATCAAACCTACCACTAGAAGGACTTTCCTGGGGCTGAGAAGAAAACACAAAGTGATCAGTGAAGAAAAACGAAAAATGACTACGGCAATACAAATAAAGCTTTTGCCAACTTACAGATTTTATATCATATTTCTTCTTGCTTGATGGAAGAAGAGCAGAGAGTTTTGTGTTAATTGAGTTGACAGTTTTAAAGGTTTCTTTTGACGTGTTTGTGAGGACATGTTTTCATGAGGCTCACCAGTCCAGACGGCCCTTAAAGCAAGGGAAGTCATCACTGATGGAGCTGCAGCTGTCGTCATCTTCACCAGCGTATGGCATCTTACAGCTGAAAAGCCATCAGGGATATGGGGAATGTACAAATAATTACTATAGTTCATTCTGTCTAAACTGTCTTTAGTAAAACCAGTGGCCTTTCAGAGCATCCTATCAATACACAATCGACATGTTCTCTACTCATCTTGATCAGGTAAGACCCAACAGGGCCACATAGTCAACAAAGACAAAGAGCTGTAGGAATGGGGGAACAAGTATAACTTTTATAGAGTTATAAAATAAAGACCAGCAGCTCCACTGTGTATTAAACTGAGATAGAGACTGCTCAGTGGGATCAGCTGCACCCATAGTGACTGTGCCTTAATGAGTATGGCACAGTTACAAGTAGCAACCTGTAACTTAGTTGGAATGTGTGAAATTGACGTCTACATGACTGAACTGAATTGACTAAATATATCTGTGTATAAACTGGATAATTATTTTGTAAAGAATCTTGAGACGACTGACATCTTGAAATTGAGCCTCTGTCTCTTTAAGAAGCTCCTGCTCTTTCTGAAACTCCGCCGTCAGCCAACAAGTTGAACGCTTCTCACAACATCGCTCCTATTTTAAGCCTTTAACAACATTTTTACCAGCGTTGCACTGAGAAGTAGCTCAAAAAAAATGAGCTCAGTAGATGTACCATTCTACCAGGTGTTTGCTAATTGCTGCTGGCTAGTCTGAAGGAGCTGTGTAGGGGAGTTATGGGGGAGGGTTATGAGGCGGCAACATGGTGCCAGGAGGTCCATTTGGAAGCTGAACTACTTTTAAATAGTGTATCAGAATATAAAGTAATTAAAACACAAAACAATGTCTTTTGGGAATCATGTCAAAGAATGTATGCGGACACACTGGAGAACTGTTTATCGCAGACTGTAACACCTGGAACCTTAAATCTATTTTTCCCAATGTACACAGGCAAAAACAGGTTTCACCCCGCTTTGGTTTGAGTTTCTATAAATAACAGTTTTAAGTGATATTAAACGGTGTGTTATGTGGATGAAAGACCAAAACGCATAAAAATGTATTCATTTTCCCAGCTGTCCCGTTATGTGTGGACTAGGCAGATTTCAAAAAAATAATATTTTGCACAAAAGGTGCAAAATAAACCATACCAAAAGTCAGAAAGCACAAACATGGAATTGATATTATTGTGTTCAATTGAATTTCAGCTGTTTTTCTTCCCGTCATTTATATATGAAAAAAAAAAAAATGAAGAGAAGCGACCTCGTGCAACGATATACAGTAAGGACGCAGGAAAACCAATACAGTAACAATGACGCAGTGCAGATCACAGCTGAGAACTGGGTAGTTAAAATAGTTATAAATCCTAAAGTTTTACATGCATTAATCACACATCAAGCTGCCTGAAGTCATATATTTGTGATATTATCTTTAGCAGCCTCGTAGTTTTTCTGCAGGATTCCAGACTAGCGGACCTATTGCCTTTAGAACATGTCACTGTTGCGTAAAACATGCGTACAGTTTGCACAGTCACATACAAAATAAAGTTGTTTTTTACCCCCAAGATGAGTAAGCAAACCACCAGTCGAACCAAACTAGTTTCCATACCTTTAAAAGTTGACCTTGAGGCGAGGAAATGAAAGTAAAACAAACGGAGGATTTAAAGTCCGACTGTAAAAAGGATTAGAGCATTTCATCTGTATTTGTCAGTAACCTTCACCTGTCAGTAAGATAAATCTTACTGACAGTATCTTTGATACTAGTCAAAGATTTTTCCAAGTAGCAAGAAAAGTTAAGACGGCTAAGAAGAAACTGTTTTTGTCAACATCAGCTCCGCTGACATTTGGGGGAGGAGGGGGTTTCCGGGGCAGGTGTCTGGTTCCTGAGCCGCTGTGAGGACCGCAAACAGTTAAATGGAAAAATACCAACAGCACAAAAAAAAAAGAAAAAAAAAAAGAAAGCAGCACGTGATGCTCAATGATATGATAGTTGTCATATCCTGTGTTTGCTTTCCCCCCAGAGTTTGTAAAATTGATTCCTGTTTTCTTTGATCAGCTTTAACTTTTGTCTTTACTTTCATCAGACTCTTCTTGTTGCTTGTTCATGCAGGTTGGAGTTGTACATTTTTTGCATTTATTTATACGTTATTCTTTTTAGGATGAAGTTCAGATCTCTCTCTCTCTTAGTCCTGTTCCATTCTCTAGTATTCAAGCTCCCGGTATTTGCCCTGCTCTCTTTCACTCACCTCCTTCCTTCTGTGTTGCTCCATGGCTCCCTGTTTATTCTTCCCAGTTTTTGTATTTCTGTGTTTTGTATTATTTTTGGATTTCTTTCTTAAAGTCTCTTTCTCAAAATCCGGAGTTCATCTCTCAAAATTAAATATCTGTGTCAATGAACATGTCAGTGCCTCAGAGTCACAAATCTTTGTTATACAGTCAAATGTATTAGTCTGACTTTTCTGACTTTTGGTATGGTTTATTTTGTACCTTTTGTGACAATATAGCAGAGGCACTTTGGAATGTTTTGTTGTAAACTACTGCTAAAGTTTAGATGACAAGGCTTGTAAATTGTAATTGTGAGAAATCTGTTACTAGAGACAGGACTAGATTGACATTCACACTTTTACTGTGATTTGTTGACAGGTATTGCTACCGTGATTCAGAAAGGAAACGACAACACTGCAAAGCGCAGGGGGAAAAAAAGAGGTAGAACTGGGAACATAAGACAATCTCCTTAAGGAAAAGTCTGTATGATGTGAAGACGCCTGAAGTCACAACCTTAAACTTCACTTGATTTTATGTTTGATTTTTTTTTCCAGATATGTTATGGTCATCATATAAGTTCCATCTAAATGATTTGGCTTTACTTTCTATAAAATCTGGATCATCCCAGTTCAATCCTGATTTAACATGAGGGCAAAAACTTCATCACATGGACAGGTTAGCTTGGACAGCTGTTTTCCCTTAATGAACATAAACATCATTTGAAAATTGCTTTTGGTATTTATCTTGGCTGTCTACGAACAATATTAGACATTATTTGATGATCTGAAATATTTAAGTGGGACAAAAAAGCAAAAATGGACCCAGGAAGAGGAAAATACTTTTTCGCACCACTGCAACTGTAATGTGAACTTTGAAATTCTGTGACCTACCTGAGTCATTGTTTCTAATTCGTTTTAGGATGTTATTGTGCTCCAGAGATTTTCATCTTTTGTGGATATGTATTGCCATTTAAATCTTTGTTTGATGTCATTGGACTTTCATGATTTATTTATTTTTTTTCCTTTGGTTCACCACGAGACATTTTATTTTGTTTGGGTGAAACTGATCTATGATCTCCTTCAAAAAAGGAATAGACTCTCAAAATGTTTCACTTGTAGTTCTGGAAATTCAAATATTATAATTCAGAGAGAGAGAGAGAGAGAGAGAGACAGAGAGAGCATCTCCAATTGTGTAGTATCCAACATTGACCACTAGAGTTCATCATTGAGAAGAGAATAGTTTGTGTGGAAAATATTTTTCTTTTTTTTCTCTTACTCTCTGCTTCTCTGTTTTAAAGCCACAGAGGAAGGCTGCCATAGATTAACCTCCAGTATATAACTTTCCTAGCTATATGCCAAATAAAACAGCATGAGAAATTAAAAAATATATCATAAGTACCAAGAATAAATGAAGCAAGAGGGAATACATTTAGATTATAACAAGCATAAATTGGGCACATATTCATCATAAGTCATCATAATTTAGATGATGACTTCATTGGTTCCTTTATAATAAAAGTGTAAAGCATAAATAACCTTCATTGCATCCTTCAGAACACGGTCTCCTTTAACCCTCTTCTAACCAACCTGTGTTCTTCTCATTACCGTAATTCATGTATGATACATTACGGTAGCCACCAGGGAAATTTGTGATATGAGCTTGACCAATCACAAGAAGATTCTCCGTTGTGTCATATTTGTGAAGCGTCAAATGTGTCTCAAAAACACTCGTGCACTCGTAACCGGATCTGTGTGTAAATGCAGTTTTGTGTGTCTGTACCAGGTGACTTGTGCGTACTTTTTCAACATTTATGGGCGT